TTTACATTAACAAACACTTTACCTCTTATTTGCCTTTCATTTAACAGGGAATGGAATTAAAGGGGCAAATGATTCACTGCCCCGAAACACATTGTCTGCTCTTTTTGGGCTCACCTATCGTTAAAGGTCTACAATCCATGACCAGCAGAGGACTCTATATATCCGATATACCCATTCATGACGCCACCCGGTATGCCTACATTACACTAATAAATCACAGAATATTCTGGTGTACACTTATGTTTCTATTGGCAGTTAATTTGTAAATTGGTTTCAATATTTCTTGTTAATTCATTTTTTGGAAATAATAATTTATTAAATATGTTTACTAGTATATATGCTAACTTGTAAGTTTTATGAAAGAATATTCTTTAAATTTTATATTTATCTCAGATGTCTCTGGTGTAATTTCGGGAACAATATATGAAAGCTTATAAAATATATCATTACCATTATATAATACTTAGCTTTTAGTTTCTATTAATTTTGTTTATCATTAGTCGAATTAAATGCAATGAAATCTCTTATTATTAGAGTATTTTGAGAGATAAAAATAAAGTGAAAATACAGTACAAAGAAGTATTTTGTGCACAAAAACAGTTTGTGAGACCATTATATAAATTGATTCCCAAAATACCGAATAAAAAGGTTTGGCGAACAGAATAATACTAATAAGAAATATAAGTAAAGTTTTCTAAACAGTCGGGACTTAACATAACAGAAGAGATCACTCTTTTTAGACTTTAGTTTACTTTTTTCACAAAAGAGATTGTAGTTTATCTCTCGACTGCCACTCCGCTCATCCCTTCCCGTCTCAATCTCTCAAACTTGAGTTTCAATTGTCAATCCAATGTATATATTCTGCGAACCCATTGATCAGACATCTCATTGATTGTGATGTTGTTGTTGCGATCCCTTTCCCCTCCAATCACACAGAGACCTAATACTGATTGAAGAGCAGTCTCGGGCTCAGGAGAGTCTGAAGCGACGAATGGATAAACTGAAGAATACGATACAGTCGGCCAATCAGGCCGTGGAGATCGAGCGCAAGAAGAACGTGGATCTCCTGAACCTCATATTCCCGGCAAATGTGG